GGGCGCGTGGGATTTTGGGCATGGATGACGAACACAAATCACCATCTGCAATCTGTATTTCTCATTAGACTTCGTAGTTCTCTGCAATCCTGTTCTTGGTCGGTTAAAATGCTTTCATTAGAAAAGCCTTCACATTCGACTGTGCTTCCACCTGGTGAGGCCTATGGGATTCATTTCGGGGATACGCTGCGTGCCGGCCGGTATATAGGTGGCGCTGGTGAATGCTGTCAATTACTTCCTACGGCCACCAATCTGCCATGGGTTGTGGCAACCAGACTCCTGCTTGGTTCTCCGTGAAATCGGAATCACTTTTGGCATCATCCAAAGTTGTGTTGAGCCAATGTAGCTCATGCTGTGAAATTTGATGGTGCGTAACATTGAGGTTTTTTTAGAGTAATTGATCCTGTTTGTCGTCTTTTTTGCCGTAGTTCTACAGTGAGTAGCAAGTTGACACAAATATTAGTATTCAGAAACTGGAAGAACGCAAACGTGACGTGACACTAACATGAGTAGCCAGATTCAATTAACCGAAAATCAGAAGGCGCGATCGTCAGTGTCTTGTTGCCTTCTGTTGCGCGCATGGCCTATCACTCTATCCCCAGCCACATACCACCTCTCTAACCTAGTATGCGGATCGTACAGGCTAACAATGCGATATTAGTCAGTTTTTTTTTTCGTTTCCTCCGGGGAGAACTTGCCCTAAGCGCGAACCAGCTAGGTATTTCTCCGTAAGCCTGGGGTCGCATGCATATACCAACGGCTTACACTCAAATAAATGTCGCTGACAAAAAAAAAAAAAACTGTACCCGGATCATTGCAAATCGATTGTGCCGGACAGCGCAGACTGTACATCACAGCCTAATCTTTATAGCGCCGTTGATAGCGCCTTTATAGCGCTTTATAGCGCCGTTGATAAGGAACACGGAGACGCTCCCAGCAAAGCGCTGCCAAATAGTGAGCTGCCCGGAGCCAGCAAAACAGAGAAGCTGCGTATGAAGTTATTTTGAAAGCATCCCGAATCTTATAACTTTTCATGCGCACGAAGCAGTTGAGTCGCAGAGTATATACTCGACGGAACAGTAAAGTACAGAAAATAAATTGGTTCCCCATGGGCGGCCACAAGCAGACGCAGACAGACGGGCTCGTACGGGCGTGCCAATCACAGGGACACTGACATGGGCCCCGGACCGGCGAATGCAGAGGGAATGTGCCGTGACAACCTGCCTCGTGTAGGGACCTGAACCTGCCTCGCGTGTACGCACCTTCACGAGGTCTCTCTTTCTCACCAGCTCCTCCACTCCTGGCGATCTGGGAGACTGCAGTCTACGAATGGGGCGCCGGCTAAGCCACCGGCAATGGCCACACCGACTCCGCTTTGTGGCAACGGCCACACCAACTTTAATCAAAAATAAATTAATACTTTTGTCGTAGGCAGGCAGCAACCCCGCTCCAACCCTGTTGCACAGCCCCACAGTGACACATAGCACGCAATGTGAGGTATACCGCCAACGAGAATAAGAAGGGAAAGAACCCCTCTAGTGAAGCGACGCCGAAATCGGTAAGCAATTATCAGCCTCGATCGAACTATGATGGGAATTTCACGCAATTTTAAACACACGACCATCCCCTGCACTCTGATCAGCAATCTGACCAGAGTCTGATATGATAAGTAGTCCATATGGTTCGGTATGTGTTGATTGGGCACACGGTTGCCTACGTCACGGAGAGCGCACGCGAGTCCTGACCGGGAGGTGCCAGGCTCGCCAGCGGCTGATCGACCGGTCCAGGAGCGGACCATTGGACGGGGTAGGTGGGGCATATTCTATGACCTCTCGCAGATTGTTCAAGCATGCTGCACGCGCACGGCGAACAGGAAACAGCAAACAGAGCGCGGCGTGGGCCCATCACTCGTGAGACTCAGCAGGCCGGAGCACCTGCGAGCGACGAGGGGACATCGGCTCTGACTGCCGCTGCGGGTGACGAGAAGTCATCTCCGACGGCCGCTGCGAGCGACGAGGGGCCATCTCTGGCGGCCGCCGCGAGCGACGAGGGGACATCGGCTCTGACGGCCGCTGCGAGCGACGAGGGGACATCTCTGGCGGCCGCTGCGAGCGACGAGGGGTCATCTCTGGCGGCCGCTGCGTCACGGGGTTGACGGTGCCATCGCTACCGGCAGCGGCCGCAGTCAGCAGCGGCCGCAGTCGGCAGCGGTCGCAGCCAGCAGCGGTCGCAGCCAGCAGCGGCACGTTGCTGTGGCCTGCTGCTGTCTCTTATGCAGCACGCCTCCAGGTTAAACTCTACTCAAAAGGTTTTCTGGCAGTGCTGTAGTGTGATAGCGACACACCGGTTGCAGTACGGGCGGCACGTGGGCTCTGAGCGTGCGCTCGGGTTCGAGGCTCGGGCTTACCTAAACACTGGACCACGCAGGGCCCTTTTTATACCACCGCCTGGGCGTACCCCGCCTTAAGGACGAAGGGAGACAGACAGGTGACAAAGACACACACAAGGTACACTGAAATGACACGAGAAAAATGGCCGTGCAAAGGCACGCCTGGTGCTAGTCTGGGGTATACAGGCAATCACAGGCAATCATAAGTATAGCAAATGGAAGCGCAAAACACGAACACCACAATACAAGGAATAGACGCGTAAATACAAGCGCGTAAACATACGCACGAAACACATAAACACAAGTACGGACATGACACCGAACACAAGCACATTGTTCATGTGGAGGTAGGTTTGGTTGACTGAGCTGCATGAACGAGGAATGGTTCAACACGCCTTGTGACCATACTCGTCTGCCTAAACGGAACTGTAATCTAAACATGTACTTAACCTAATATGTACACGGGAGCGGACCAGTGATGATGACGGGCCAAGACATCACCCGTTCATTTGGTGGCCTCACACCACAAAACCGGTCTGGGAGGGAGGGACTGATCGAGCCCCGAATATGGACGACACGGTCGAGTCAGTCGGTGTGTTTGGAATGGTGCCTCGCTTTAGCACCGATTCCTGGACGGTAGGGGCGGCTATGCCGTAAGACTCGCTTCCTGTAGAACGTTGGTGGAGTGCCTGGGGTGATTCAGGATGCCGCGAAGGGGCAGACAATGCCTCATGTAGTTCAATGGCTGGCTCGGCGGTCGGGTTGCGTGTAACGGGACGAAAACGGGGTTGTGGGTCTGATGGGGCACTTGGTATGGGGGGAAACGATATACATCAAAGGCGTGTAGAACATGTAGAAGTGGGACGTAAAACAGAACACGATAAGTGTCTCCGTTTTTGACTTATTTTGTCTTGACTGCTCTGACATAGTTGCTGACGTCTCTTTAGGGAAATGGCAGGGCGAAATTCCGTGGCCAGCTTTTCGCTATTTTCCTTAGGATTCGTCCAAATTCTTGGGGAGGGATGATATTTGTATGTAATATACCGACTTCGGCCAGGGCAAGTTTGGTTGCTAGCGTTTCTGGTTCGGCATGTAGGCGGGGGACGCTTCGCGTCACCTGGTGGACGTTTTCTGCCAGGAAGTTTATATGTAATATGAGGGAGAAGATTTCCCTCGTGTTCCTAGAGGCATTTAACAAACCCCGGTAAGCTATCTGCATACTTTTCACGGCGGTGTTTAGGGAAAGCAGTACACGTCGATTTTGATTGATTACCATTCGAGTGGAATTTATAGCTTGAAGGGTTCCATTAAAGGTGTGGGCCATTGCCATCCCCTTTGCATTGATAATTCGCACATTTTCAGATACATGCTTGATTTCTTTTTCTGTTACGGTTCTAAATAAGTAAGGCATTATACTACCTACGCCGTTGATCAACCCGCGCTTCGTGCGTTTTGTTGTTTTAATATCCGGTGGGTTGAGAATGTCCATCAACGTGTGAGAGAGGTCCGATTCTTCGCGCTTCAGCAGGTTCACTGATTGGAATAGGTTGTTAATGGACATTTTTTAGCACAGTATAATTTGGGTAGAAGTGGTTGTCATGGGTGCTTGGTAGATTTTTGATGGTGTCCGCAATCTTTTTGGTGGCTCTTTTGATCGTCCCCATCTGCTGTCGGTAAGAAGTCATATTAGTTGAAAGCGTGATGACCCAGGAGCTGTAGATTGGGTACGTTTTACCTAATGACATGAACAGATGTCCCGGGTCATTGGGACGGTCAGGGGATGCGCTTAGCATGCAAATATGCCATCCTATGATCACAAGACCTGTCCTTATGTGCATGGTTTTTGGTCCTGAAATGGCAAAGCATGGGTATTAACCCCAGGTGGGAAACGTTATCTCGAGCAACGAAATGACCAGACAAGGCACGTCGGGAAACCAATTTGACGGAACATTGCTTTCAGAATGACTCGTATTTTTGAGTGGTTGCCATGGTATATCAACACTCGTTTACCTCGAAGAGTTTACCTCGTTTGGAGAACATTGATAATCAAATTGCACCCCTGGTCGTTGTCCGTTATGTCCGTTCTACACCCACTAGAACCGTCGTTTCATCTTTTTCGTCTCAGTCGCCAGTCGCCGGGCTGAGCGAATTCATACCCTTCGTGAACAGACGTGTCCATTGGCGATGCTCTCTGGGAAAGGAGGTTGTATCGCTTCTGTCTCCATGGGGGTCGTATTAGCCTCCCACTCTCGCCATTATCCGGTGGTGGTGGTGAGCAGGGTTCAGTGGGGCTAATATCT